GGATCACGAGGTCAAGAGATCGAGACCATCCTGGTCAACATGGTGAAACCCCGTCTCTACTAAAACTACAAAAAATTAGTTGGGCATGATGGCGCGTGCCTGTAATCCCAGCTACTCAGGAGGCTGAGGCAGGAGAATTGCCTGAACCTAGGAGGCGGAGGTTGCGGTGAGCCGAGATCGCGCCACTGCACTCCAGCCTGGGTAACAAGAGTGAAACTCTGTCTCAAAAAAAAAAAAAAAAAAAAAAAAAACTTGCCTACATGCATTGCTTTTTATCATTACAGTAAAAAGGAGGTGAGGAGAAGCACATTTATTCTTCTCCCTCCCTAAAACTTAATAAATTTTATTTTGAGAAACATTTTTACTAATTAGATTCTGGATCATTAAGCAATCTAAACTACTGCATTAAAAAAAAAATACTGAATAATTCACCCAAAGGAATTTTACCTATAATAGAGCATTCCAAATTTTAAGCATAAGAGAAGGAAAATAAAGCAAACACTTTAATTGGCTGCAGAGATTTTCTTAAAAGATTATGACAAACCTCGGCCGGGTGCGATGGCCCATGCCTGTAATCCCAGCATTCTGGGAGGCTGAGGCAGGTGGATCACTTGAGGTCAAGAGTTCCAGACCAGCCTGACCAACATGGTGAAACCCCTCTCTACTACAACTACAAAAAAATTAGTTGGACGCGGTGGCACACGCCTGTAATCCCAGCTACTTGGGAGGCCGAGGCAGGGTAATTGCTAGAACCCTGGGGGCGGAGGTTGCAGTGAGCCCTGATGGCGCCACTGCACTCCAGCCTGGGCAACAGAGAGAGACTTTGTCTCAAAAAGAAAAAAAAAAGGATTGTGACAAACCTCTATTTTTGCATTCTAACTACCTCATTCCCTTTCATTTAAAATTACTGAGGAAGTTGATTCCAAAGCTAATCATTATTAATTGAAAAACAAACAAACAAAAAAAACTAGTCATTTCAGTTGCTTTCAGAAGTATACTAAAAAACAAACATGAAAGTGGTTTCATGATTATTCAAATTTGTAGAAGGAATCGATAAAACATAACCAAAAATACTGTCCTGTGTGATATTACTTGTTCCTCTCCATTCCAACTACATGGGAAGTAAAAATAAGTGTCATAAACAGCTGTATCTTACACATCTTAAAATTCTATCCTACAACTTTGACTTTATAATCCAACAGGAAGGAAAGTCTGAAATACCAAACAGAAAATTGACGTGAAGCACAGATCTATATAACCTAACTCTGAGAAGCCACTTTGAACAGAGCAAAAATGTTTACTTGCAACAACAACAATAACAAAGGTCTCAAAGTCTTGTGCAAAAACAAGCTGAGTCCTCCCTCCGGAAAATAGATATTTAACAACTAAGGACCTGACACCACAGCACACCCGTGCTAAATTATTCTCTGAAAGCACCTGCAGAACAGCGCAATCTTTCACACTCAAAAGCCACTCCCTGCTCAAAACCACCCGCATCCAAGCCGAACCTGGGACCTCACCAGCTGCCCAACCTCCAGCGGGCTCTCCCCCGACCCCAGAGCAGCCCCTCGCCGAGCTCTCCTCTGCTGTCTTCCTTTTTCTGTACCAAGAGGACCAGAAAAGGGGATCCCTCCAGCTCGGCCATCCAGACCCTTCTTCGGGCTCCGAGCGGTCCCATCCCAATTCCGCGCTTCCTTTACAGGCCTCCCTCCGGCGTGGGGACCTTCCTGCATTCCTAAGTACTAGCCGGGCCTGACCCTGCTTAGCTTCTGAGATGAGACGAGGTCGGGGTGTTCAGGCTGGCACTGCCGTCGACCCTTCGGCTTTCCGCCGCTCCACCTGGCTCGGAAGAGAGCTAACGCCAGCGATGGAGTCCGCGCCACCCCTGCTCCGGGGGCTCTGCCCCAACTGCGTGGTTACCCAACTCTCCCCTTCCTCCGCCCGCCTCGCCACCCCGCCCCGCCCGTGCCTGTACCGGGAGCTCCAGACCAGGTACAGCTGGTGCGCCCACGCCTGCCTCCCAGCTGCAGCCTGGCGCTGAGCGGCAGCAGCCTGACGGGGGAAGGCGGAGTCCTTCCGGGGTCAGGAGTGGGAAGGTGGAGAGAAAGTGGAGCGGACCTTCCAGGCTTTCTGCAAGAGGGGCTGCGTGTGAAGCACTTCCTGCCATTTTTGTTTAGGGTAGAAGCTCCTGTCTCCTCAAGTGGATATAAAAACTAGATTCGACGAATTGCATCCTTTTACATTACAAACCTGTGAAAAACCAGTATTGCAGTTCGTGAACTGTCGGGGATCTAGAACGGTTATCAATCTGGTGAAAACGATGTAGCCTTTCCCCTGGGAAAAAAATGCATATACACATGCTCATTACATTAAAGAAAAAAAAATATGTGTGTGCATATATATATAAACAAGTTCAAAACCCTGAAAACAATCCATGGATCTAAGATTAAGAACTTCTACCTCAGTCCTCAAATTAATGAGTGTCAAGAGGCATTCTAGTCCTGTATAGATGACACATTTATTATTGATTTCATTCCCTCTTTAGCTTTTTTCTGTGTTTCCCGCTGAATTAGAAAACTGAATACTAAAAAATGCAAAAATTAGCTGGGCAGGGTGGCGCATACCTGTAGTCCCAGCTACTTGAGAGGCTACTGCCGTGTCCAGCCTGACAGGCTTCTTTACCTAACATAATGTTTTTAAGATTCATCCATGTTGTAACATTTATCAGTTCATCATTTCTTTTTATGGCCAAATAATATTGTATGACTATATCACATTTTTTTCTTTTTTCTTTTTTTTTTTGAGACGGAGTTTCGCTCTTGTTACCCAGGCTGGAGTGCAATGGCGCGATCTCGGCTCACCGCAACCTCCACCTCCTGGGTTCAGGCAAATCTCCTGCCTCAGCCTCCTGAGTAGCTGGGCCTACAGGCACGCACCACCACGCCCAGCTAATTTTTTGTAGTTTTAGTAGAGACGGGGTTTCACCATGTTGACCAGGATGGTCTCGATCTCTTGACCTCGTGATCCACCCACCTCGGCCTCCCAAAGTGCTGGGATTACAGGCGTGAGCCACCGCGCCCGACCTATCACATTTTATTTATTCATCAGTTGGTGGACATTTGTTTCTGCTTTTTGGCCATTAAGAATAATGCTGGGCCGGGAGCGGTGGCTCAAGCCTGTAATCCCAGCACTTTGGGAGGCCAAGATGGGAGGATCACGAGGTCAAGAGATCGAGACCATCCTGGCCAACATGGTGAAACCCCGTCTCTACTAAAAATACAAAAAAATTAGCTGGGCGTGGTGGCGTGTAGTCCTGTAGTCCCAGCTACCCTGGAGGCTGAGGTAGGAGAATTGCTTGAACCCGGGAGGCGGAGATTGCAGTGAGCCTAAATCATGCCACTGCACTCCAGCCTGGCAACAGAGTGACACTCTGTCTCAAAAAAAAAAAAAGAAAAAGAATAATGCTATAGGCCAGGCAGGGTGGCTCACGCCTATAATCCCAGCACTTTGGGAGGCCCAGGCTGGAGGATCACTTGAGTTTAGGAGTTCGAGACCAGCCTGGCCAACATGGTGAAACCCAGTCCCTACTAAAAATACAAAAATTAGCTGGGCATGATGGTGGGTGCTTGTAATCCCAGCTACTGAGGAGGCCAAGGTGGGAGACTCATTTGAGCCTGGGAAACAGGGTGCAGTGAGCTGAGATCCTACCCTGCACTCTAGTCAGGGTGATGGAGCAAGACTCCATCTCAAAAAAATAAAAATAAAAATAAATAAAAGAATAATACTGCTATGCATATTCACGTATGAGTTTTTGTATGGATGTATGTTTTCAATTCTCTTGGGCATTACCTAGGAGTAGAATTGCTGGACCACTTACCTTTATATTTAATGTTTTGAGGAACTGAATCTGTAGTATTTAGATATGTGTACAGACCACTGTACTCTGAATAGACGTTCTAAATTAGCATCTAGAACCATACTCTGAATTCTAGATGCCTTGGTTAGCTTAGTTCTGACTTATAGAAGGGTCCTGTAAAATACTTTTGGTGGGTAATGAGAGTAAAGATATAATGGCCAATATATGCCTATAGCATTATATATATTTGAAAAGAGGCCCTGAGATATTTCCTGGGACTGCCAAGTTTTTGCAGTTAATAGGAGAAGTAATTGGAGCTACGAATTACCTAAAAGTGTTAATCCACTTAGGATATATAATTGCTTTTAAATCTTCAATGTGCTAGACTTCTTCCGTCTGGTTTAAAGCTTAATGTCGTCACTTGATAAACGCTGTTTCCACTCATCAATCATTCATTAAGTGCATTGGCCACATATTGTTTCAGCTGAAATGAGCAGTGATCCTAACTATTCTAAATAAAATATCAGATATACCCAACCAATGCAGTTAAATCTGACTTTGGGGCTGGGCGAGGTAGCTCACACCTGTAATCCCAGCACTTTGGGAGGCTGAGGCCGGCAGATCACGAGGTCAGATGATCAAGACCATCCTGGCCAACAGGGTGAAACCCCATCTCTACTAAAATACAAAAAATTAGCCAGGTATGGGGACTGAGGCAGTGGAATTGCTTGAATCCAGGAGGCAGAGGTTGCAGTAAGCTGAGTCCAGACTGGTAACAGAGCAAGACTCCGTCTCAAACAAAACAAAACCAAAAAACAAAAATTAGCCAGACACAGTGACATGTGCCTGTAGTCCCAGCAACTTGAGAGGCAGAGGAAGAGGCAGGAGAATCGCTCAAAGCAAGGAGGTGAAAGTTGCAGTGAGCCAAGATTGTGCCACTGCACTCCAGCCTGGGCAACAGAGTGAGACTCTGTCTAAATAAATAAATAAAAATGTTTGACTTTAGTACCTTCTTCATGTGGCTCACTACTCACTTCTTGGCCCTTTTGTATGTTCCTCAATGACTGTCTCCTTTGCTGGGGACCTCTTATTGTTTGATTCCCCAATCCTGGACCAAAAAAACCTGTGGCTGTCCATTTAGATGGTCAATTTAAACCTGGTTTGAAGATAACAACCTTCTAAGATAATTCAAGTCTGGCTACATTCCATGACACTCATATGGCCCACAGGAGACTTTTTCTTGCAAAGTTGCAAGTACAGGCCCTTTCTGCTGTAGGTCTCTCTCTCTCTCTCTCTCTCTCTCTCTCTCTGTTCTGCCATCAAAGCCTTCTCTAGATAGTCTATTGCTTTTAGACTTTTCCAGGTGACATAAATTCCAGGGCACAGAGTCAACCAGAGTCAACTTGCCTAAAGTTCCTTTACTTGGCTTGAGGTGGAGATAGTGTGGGGTAAGCACTCTCTTCTTCCCACTCCTGGAAAGGGGAACAAAAATGGACAACACTCCAGAAAACTGTCTCTTACCCTTTTTTTTTTTTTTTTTTTTTTTAGACAGGGTATGGCTCTGTCACCCAGGCTGGAATACAGTAGCAGAATGTTGGCTCACTGTGACCTCCATCTCTTGGGCTCAAGCTATCATCCTCCCACCTCAGCCTCCCAAGTAGCTGAGACTACAGGCATTTGCCACCACACCCAGCTAGTTTTTGTATATTTAGTAGAAACCGGGTTTCATCATGTTGCCCAGCTGGTTTTGAACTCCTGAGCTTAAAGTTATCCGCCTGCCTCAGCCTCCCAAAGTGCTGGGATTACAGGTGTGAGCCACCAAGCCTGGCCCTTCTAGGCATGTTTATTCTCCAGTCTTCTTTCATCAATCCTGATTTATCATTCCTGGGAGGTTCGTGAGAACGGAGGATTGCTAAATGGTTTTCACATTCTCCCAGCATGTCCTGTGGGGATGGTCTGGCATCCTCTTTTAGAATGCTTAGGGTACTTGACATTTATTTTTCTCAGCTTTGGAGCCTCTATTAAAAGACCCACTGAAGGGTCCCATTTAATATGCCATATATCTTAAAAATATGTGCCTGTATTGTTGTACGTTCTTCTTTTTTTTTTAATGTGTGCACTTTTATTCAACTGGTCTCAAGTCAGTGTACAGGTAAGTGCTGGCTGCCTTCACCCACTCCCAGGGAAACCAAAAGCCTTCATACATCTCAAAATGCGGGATAAAAAAGGAGGGCCACGAGGGCTGATCATTCAAAATAAAACAAAATTAAAAGTATTAAGGCAAAGATTTTTTTAAAAATTGCATTACACAATTTACACGAAAGCAATGCTATCACGTCCCCAGTGTGGACTCAGGAGAGGACTGGGCCATTCTCCTTAGATAGAGGTAGGGTGGCTTTTAGGAGGGCAAGGGACTTTCTGTAACAATGCATCTCATGATATTTGGAATGACTATTAAAAAAAAGAACAACGTATTTAAAAAAAGAACAATGTACAAAGTCCTCACCCACACTGTAGAATTTTGGGGGATGCTCAGTCCAACTGACTGCTGTCACCTTCACTGTTCCAGTTTTTAAGTCCTGAGTCAAGCCCCTGTTGCCCAAAAAACAAAAACAAACACACAAAATAAAACCAAATAAAGCCATGACAATCTCACATTGTTTTCTGGGCAAGTTAGGTTTTGTCAAGAAAGGGTGTAATATAAGTAATAGTCCACCTGGAAGCATTTGTAGTAGATGATGGAGAGACCGCAGGGGCTGGACTCAACGTATTCCTGCTTGCTGATCCACATCTGCTGGAAGGTGAACAGCGAGGCCGGGATGGAGCCATCGATCCACACGGAGTATTTGCGCTGGAATGGAGTAATGATCTTGATCTTCATCGTGCTGGGCGCCAGGGTGATGATCTCCTTCTGCATCCTGTCGGCGATGCCAGGGTACCTGGTGGTGCCACCAGACAGCACTGTGTTGGCGTACAGGTCTTTGCAGATGTCCACGTCATACCTCATGATGGAGTTGAAGGTAGTTTCGTGGTTGCCACAGGATTCCATGCTCAGGAAGGGAGGCTAAAACAGCGCCTTAGGGCAGTGGAACCACTCTTCGCTGATAGTGATGACCTGGCTGTTGGGCAGCTTGTAGCTCTTCTCCAGGGAGGAGCTGGAGGCCTCCACAGCCATCTCCTGATCCAAGTCCAGGATGATGTAGCACCGCTTCTCCTTGATGATGCTCAAGATTTCCGGCTCGGCCATGGAGGAAAAGCTGTAGAGGTGCTCCATGAGGATCTTCATGAGGTAGTCAGTCAGGTCCCAGCCAGCCAGGTCCAGACACAGGATGATGTGGGGGAGGGCATACCCCTGGTAGATGGGCACAGTGTGGGTGATGCCATCGCCAGAATCCATCACAATGTGACCAGATGCGTACAGGGACAGCACGGCCTGGATGGCCACTTACATGGCTGGGGTGTTGAAGGTCTCAGACATAATCTGGGTCATCTTCTCGCAGTTGGCCTTGGGGTTCAGGGGGGTCCTCAGTCAGCAGCATGGGTGCTCCTTGGAGCCACATGCAACTCGTTGTAGATGTGGTGTCAGATCTTCTCCATGTCATCCCAGTTGGTGATGATGCCGTGCTCGATGGGGATGCCTCTCTTGCTCTGGGCCTCGTCGCCCACATAGGGGTCCTTTTGACCCATGCTCACCAACACACAGGTGTGGATGGGCAGCGGAGCTCCATGCTCACAGGGCAGAGCATGAGACATCAAAAGGATAAGTCTCAGTGGTCTGTTCTATGTTCTTAACCTTTTTTTTTGTTGTTGTTCTTATGGAACTCTTGACTTCCTGGTAGAATCTGGGAACCCCTTTCCAAGTAATGTTTCTATGTGCATAAAACAAATACATGGGATTACAAAGGAAACCAATGATATTAAAACAGAATTGCACCCTTGGAGCCGATGGAGGTCCAAGTACTCAGGTTAAAAATTTACATAAAAATGTTAGTTCTTTCTTTCTTTCTTTCTTTCTTTCTTTTTGAGACAGAGTCTTGCTCTGTCACCCAGGCTAGAGTGCAGTGGCACCATCTCAGCTCACTGCAATCTCCACCTCCTGGGTTCAAGTGAAAATCTTAGTTCTTTCTAAGCATTACTATATTTGTCTTTCTTTTTCCTTTCCTTTTTATCTTTTTCTTTCTTTCTTTTTCTTTTCTTTTTTTTTTTTTTTTTTTGAGATAGAGTCTTGCTCTGTCGCCCAGGCTGGAGTGCAGTGGCATGATCTTGGTTCACTGAAACATCTGCCTCCTAGATTCAAGCAATTCTCCTACCTCAGTCTTCAGAGTAGCTAGGATTACAGGCACGCACCACCATGCCTGGCTAATTTTTGTATTTTTAGTAGAGATGGAGTTTCACCATGTTGGCCAGGCTGGTCTCGAGCTCCTAACCTCAAATGAACTGCCCACCTCAGCCTCCAGGCGTGAGCCACAGTGCCAGGCCTATATTTGTCTTTCTAACATGCCAGGAGGAAACTGAGACATCAAAAGGATAAGTACCTTGCCTAAGACCATGTGACATAAAAGATGCATATTTAGATTGAGCATGGTGTCTCACACCTATAATCCCAACATTTTGGGAGGCTGAGGTGGGAGGATCCCTTGAGTCCAGGAGTTTGAGACCAGGCAAACTCCTGGGCAACATAGGGAGACATTGCTTCTAGTAAAATTTTACAAGTAGCTGGACATGGTGGCAAGTGCCTGCAGTCCTGGCTACTCAGAAGACTGAAGCAGGAAGATCACTTGAGCTCAGGAGTTCAAGCCTGCAGTGAGCTATGATTGTACCACTGCACTGCAGCCTGGGCAATAGAGTGCTATCCTGATATCCCTGATATCTTCAGAGTAAAAGCATTCCTAATTTTGCTCTAAAGATAATCATATTGATTCTTGCAAAATATAGTAATTAAGAAAATTAATCCTTTATCACAAACCCTTGTAGCAGAGCACATCTCCCCATGATCTTTTTTTTTTTTAATCCTATATAAATGAATATTGTACTTAAGTGGATGTGTTCCTTTTCTTCCTTTTGGGAATGCCTTACTCTGTCTATAGAGTAACTGTATGTTCACCACTTTACTGTCTTAATAAATTTGTTTTGCTTTGGACTGTGGACTCGCCCTGAATTCTTTCTTGTGCGAAATCCAGGAACCCTCTTGTGGGGTCTGGATTGGGACCCTTTTCTGGTAACAACATTATGAGGCCTCCATAGAAATCCCTGAAGTATGGCATTCTAACAGCTTCTGAGTTGGTGAACATATCCATGTCCCAAAAAGATGGTGCACCCTGCTCCCATGGGGACAGAAGCTCCTGCACTCAGGATCCTTCCAGATCTTGTTTTATGTACCTCTTCATCTGGCCGTTCATCTGTATCCTTTGTAATATCTTTTGTAATAAATCAGTAAATTTGAGTAAATGTTTCACTGAGGTTTGTAAACGATTATAGCAAACAATCGCATGGGAGAAGAGGGTTCTGGGAATCCCTGATTTATAGCTGGTTAGTCAGAAGTACAAGTGACAACCTGGGACTTGCAATTGGCATCTGAAGTGGGGGAGTCTTGTAGGACTGAGACCTTAACGGATCTGGGTGCACTCCAGGTAGATAGTATTGAATTGAATTGAACTGTACAACACCCAGTTGATAGACACTAAATAACAAGTGGATTTATAATGAGCCATAATTGGAGACTTGTTTGGTGGGGAAAAAAACCTCTACACATTTGTTGTCAGATGTGTTGAAAGTATGGAAAAATAGTTGTGTTTCTTTCCTTTAACCATGCATCTAGTAAGTGGCCAAGAAAGGATTCAAACCCAGGCAGTCTGACTTCACAGCTTTGGTTTGATATTGTGCAGATAGGATCCCCTAAATTTGCTAATGGTTGCTATAGCATGTATTGGAGCATCTGTACAGAAGAAACAAGTGATAGTACTCCATGAACTCCATTCTCTGGTTTAGTGAGCAATACGCTATGGCCTGGTTATCTGGGGAAGGTATGGGCCTTTAGAATTGATCCAGGCTCCAATTTGTTTTTCCTGGTCCCTGATATCAAAAGACATTGAGTCTCTTGTCCTGGTTTAAGCCACTACTTGTTTGGTTTTCTTTTACTTGTAGCTAATACAATGTTAACTAATATATCCAATAATGGCTAAGATTGGGTGCAGTACTCTGCCAAACCCAAAGAAAGGAGGCTTGGAGCAAATTGCATTTGGTATATAAACATAAATTAAATGTGATATTGCTTTCTATTTTACTTATTTATTTTATCTTATTGTTATTTTATAGAAATGGGTCTTGCTATTGCCCAGGCTAGTTTTAAACTTCTTGCCTCAAGGGATCCTCCCTCATCGGCCCCCCAAAGTGTTGGGATTACAGACATGAGCCACCTCACTTGGCCTAAATGTGACATATTTTATTCTCATGCTAAAGAATAAAATCTGTACCCACTGTGTAATAATATTTCTCGTGGAATTAAAGAGATACTGTTCTCAGGAAAGTTGCGTTGAGTGGTAGTCATCATCGTGACTGCTCTTCCCATTTGGCTGAATGTTTGGAAGTTGTGGGAAATGGGAAAGAGGAGGAAATTGGGAAAATAAATGAAAATAGTCTTACAAATTTCAGGTTCTTCAAATCTCAAGAGATCCATTTACCTTATAAGTGCAAAATGCTTTCACATAAAACCCAGTCTGTGCAGCATTAGTTATTATTAATCTAATAATATCATAGATTGGTACTGCCATTCTTTCTATTTTCCATTTCATTAAATAGGAATTTTGAAAACAGAATTATTTTGGCTTTTCACCACAAACACGCTCACAAAAAATATTTTTTATTTCTAAAGTTTTTTTTTTTTTTTTTTTTTTTTTTTTTTTTGACACAGCCTGGCTCCGTCGCCCAGGCTGGAGTGCAGTGGTGGGGTCTCGGCTCACCACAACCTCCGCCTCCTGGATTCAAGCAATTCTCCTGCCTCAGCTTCCTGAGTAGCTTGGACTACAGGCATGTGCCACCATGCCTGGCTAATTTTTTTTTTGTATTTTTAGTAGAGATGGGGTTTCACCATGTTAGCCAGGATGGTCTCAATCTCCTGACCTCATGATCTGCCTGTCTCGGCCTCCCAAAGTGCTGGGATTACAGGCATGAGCCATCGTGCTCAGCATTTTTTTTTTTTAGATGGAGTCTCCCTCTTGTTGCCCAGGCTGGAGTGCAGTAGCATGATCTGGGATCACCACAAACTCCGCCTCCCAGGCTCAAGCGATTCTCCTGCCTCAGCCTCCCGAGTAGCTGGGATTACAGGTGGGTGCCTGGTTAATTTTTGTATTTGTAGTAGAGATGGGGTTTCATCATGTTGGCCAGGCTGGTCTCGAACTCCTGACCTCAAATGATCCTCCAACTTTGGCCCTTTTTCAAAAAGAGATAGAGAGAGAGAGAGAGGGAGGGAGAGACAGGGAGAGAGAGACCCCTGTGTTCTATTGGAAGGTATTTACGTCAAAATGTAAAATAACTAATAGACATCACAGAGATGTTTCTAGTAAGAGTTTAGGCAAATAGGTTTATTCTAAAGTTGCTTTAACATAAAGAAAAATAAAATTTAGATTAAACTATAGGAAAACAAGAGTTTATATTTTTCATTTCTAAAAAATCTTATGACTTCAAAACTAGAAAACCATGTGCCATTTCTAAATTTATTTTTTAAAAAGAGCTGCATCTGCTGTGTATATATTTAAATGACGAAAATTCAGAGAACTACAAGAAAATTACTGCCTCTCCAAGTTAAAAAATATACCTTAAAATTCTTTCATATTTCCCATTTATTTGTCTTTTTCAGTAATAGGTTTATTCATTTGTTCATTTTCTACATTGTGCCTTGTAGTGTGCTGAAGGCTGGAAATACTAGAATGAATGTGTAAGAAAAATTCCTGCCCACAGCTTGGTTCAAGAAATGGAAAAGTTGCCAGGCGCAGTGGCTCAAGCCTGTAATCCCAGCACTTTGGGAGGCCGAGGCGGGTGGATCACAAGGTCAAGAGATCGAGACCATCCTGGTCAACATGGTGAAACCCCGTCTCTACTAAAAATACAAAACATTAGCTGGGCATGATGGTGCATGCCTGTAATCTCAGCTACGTGGAAGGCTGAGGCAGGAGAATTGCCTGAACCCAGGAGGCGGAGGTTGCGGTGAGCCGAGATCACGTCATTGCACTCCAGCCTGGGTAACGAGCGAAACTCCGTCTCAAAAAAAAAAAAAAAGAAATGGAAAAGTGAACAAATCATTGCTATGTGTAATAATGACGTTACAATGCATATTGTATAATCAAGCAGCAGTAATAATATCACTAAGGAACAAGCTATAGGATATAAGGAAAGGCCCACACAGCATAGAAAAGTCAGAAGAGGCTTCCCCTAGGACACGCGTATCCAACCCTTTGGCTTCCTTGGGCCACACTGGAAGAATTGTCTTGGGCCATACATAAAATATACTAACAATAACGATAGCTGATGAGCTAAAAAAGAAAATGTTCTGTGCAGAATTTCCATGATATCCACCACTGTGGATATGCAAAAAATTTGTCACATTCAAAGGGTTGGACATGGCTGCCCTAGAAGGTGTCCCTTAAAGGATGAACAGAGTTCACTTTTGAAAGAAAGGACATTCCATGTATAAGTAAAGTAGCCCT